AATAATGTCATCACAATTTCTCAAACCCCAGCGTAAGGTCTTAAATGAATTACTAAATTGGATTTGAAATAATTCTACTAAGCAGTAAATTGACAAATGGTGTTCACGTATGTGAACTGGCCTGTTGTTGGTTTTCTTTTGTGAAAAGGTTAACTGAGCTAAAATACAGATGATATAAAGCTGTTAAAAAAGAAAAAAACCCTTCATTTTGGTAAAGATACCGGAGCTTATAAGTGCATCTCATGCCTGGCTGAGGTCTCAATCCAAAAAATAGGGTCAGGGATTTAAGTTTCGACTCTTTCTCAACCTAGACAAATGAAAACAAATCTCTTCGTGGATACACTAAAGAGATCCATAACATGATACAGACGTCAGTGAGTGACGCCATTCAGCCACACACAGACACAGTGTTTACATATATACGTGTGTGGTGCGATTATTCCATCCATCTGCTCACATATGATTTGCATACGGAGGACCGGACGTTGTTTTGTTACATTCCTGCGGAGCGTTTGACCTTTGACCTGGTTATTGCATTCCAGGGAGGCTCGTCCTGCAGCAGCACCACAGCCAGCACTCACTCACTCACTCTGCTAGTCTGCTTCTGTGCTACAGAGAGACGATGTTTGTTGGGCTCGTTTAGACAAAACACTGGACACAATAGTGGCAGTATTCACAGACGAGCAGGCACCGTAGCATTGTCTTGAGCTAAAAGGAGCATCTTGTCTCGGCTCGAACATAGAACGTAGTTAGCCATTTTGCTAAGCAGCTAAACCGCCATCGTATTGAGGTTGCTTTGTAGACACACAGCAGGCTAGCCGCAGACACCAGCGCAGAAGAAATGAAGGACAAACAAAAGAGAAAGAAGGAGCGGACCTGGGCTGAGGCGGCTCGTATGGTAAACTCTCTCTTTTGTGTTTTCAACTAGCATTGCTTGTAGGCTATGGATGAATTTACGTAAAGTGATGGATCCAGATGTGTTGTTGTGTTTGAACATTCTCCTCACGACCACAGCTCTGCTATAACGTTAGCATCAGCTAGCTGATAACATACTAGTGCTCACCCAACCTACATGCATGTATGATTTAATGTTACTAGAAGCACACATCTCACATTTGCTGCTTGTCTTTCAGGGTGCTAACATGAAAAGCTAAGCAACATGCTAACCCTGGTTAGCACGCGAATATCATCCTCTGCTGTGCTGAGCTCTTTGTTTGCTAGGCAGCGAACATGCTAGTCTTACGCTAAGTATCATCTGAGCATCCCGACTAACATTAGAGCCGTACACGCTATACGACAACTATTCACTTTATGTGAACAAACCATTAGGCT